TTAATTTTGATCGATTGATAATGAATTTGGTGACCATTATTTTAAGTTTGGTGACCATTATTTCAGATTTGGTGACCCAATGCGTCGTAATGATATTTGATCTCTTAATTAGATAAATAAATGTCAACAGTTACTTCCGTGAAAATTTCACTTTCCCAACACTTTTAATTATTTCCTAACACAGGCTATATTATATACATATTACAACTGTTTTCATAAATTAACTGAATGATTTTTTGACAGATCTGGCTAAGCTATTGATTTTGGACATATAAAAGATAAATATTTTTTATATTACATATAACATCATATTTGTTCTACAAATAATTTTTTCATTGCAATGTCAACACATTTAACATTATAAAACTTTCGCTTGATGAATGCTTGTTTAGCATGTTTGGTGTGTTTTTTTGTACGAAAGTTTATAGAAAAGGCTTTTCTTGTCAACAAGTAAATCTTGACAAGAAATTATTAAATAGGTTTTATAATATACATATCACATGAATAGGTTCTAATATTGAAAAGGTTAGATATGATCAAGAATTCATCGACTAGTCACAATGTAACTCAAGACTCCAAAAAAAATCAAGGATTTATTAACACATAAGCGTTTGATAATTTTTCAAATTGACTAACCTAAAATTTTTTCAGTTATTAAGTTTTGGAGTTTCGAGTTTCGGCAAAGGTTTCGGGTTCGGGTAGGGTTTCGGAAGAAGTTTCGAATAGATTTTGAGTTTCATAAGAGGTTTAGGGTTTCGGGTTTCGGGTGAAGTTTCGGATGAGGTTTCGGAAATTATAATCCGAAACCCGAAACTTTCGGATTCGACTAAAAAGGATACTCACGTAGTTTGACCACGTTATTGGAGCATGATTGGTACGTAAATCATTAATATGAATTTAGAAATGATTACTCTTACACAGTGTCTTGGTGTTCGACCATGTTGTAAGAATTCAGAAATGATCAGCTTCTTTCAAACCTTTACTTTTTTGTTTACAGTATTAGCAATTATCAGTCCAGTAATGACATGCAACAGCATGACGCTATCGTTATTATTGTTTTGCTATGTTCTATTTCTGTTCTACATTTTACATATGTATTTGTGAAACTTTGAATTTCTCCGAAAAGCATAACAGACCAACAGTACAATTTCCAAAAAAAGATCCATTGACTTCGAACGATCATTAGAAAGTGTTATAATTATACAGACTTCGAACGATCATTTAAATGTATTTAAATATTATGCACTGGTATGGGATGCATATTACTTTATACTAGCAAGATTGACACGATAGACAGTTGACTTTGATGAGACTATGTCAAAGTATCAGCACGGTAAAATTACTGATGTACTCTTCGATTTAACATTCATTCTACTGTTCTATATATCAATAACAGCATCGAATAAATTTACATTTATTATTTAATAAAATATTTATAAAATAAATTGGTATACTTCATTACAATATCAACTTTAGTAAATTGATTCGCCTTTAATTTTTCTACTTTAATCGGTTAAGACATTTCAAAAAAGAACTTTCCTATTACCGTTATATTATTTTATTGAACTTCACGAATAGATGATAGATAATCGTAAGGAAAAAAATTTACGCGAAATATCGTGGGAAATTGATTCTCATTGTCTAGTAAATTTACTTGTAATAAACTCGGGAATCCCGAAGGAATGATTTCGGGAATCCCGAAGGATCTACATTTACAGATAATACTTTAATCGGCATATTAATGTAACTATTTTGGGTATATGTAAAAGAAACACGAAAAAAAGAGAATTTAATAATTACGTAAATTCGGATTAAATTTTTAAAAATTCAATTCATTTGCTCTTTCTCATTCTAGCGTCTCTTACAAATGAATTTATGGTTTTACGTGATTCTCGTGGTTTTGGTGGTTTTATTATTCTACTTTATACGTAGAATTTTTAAACCTCTTAATGAATTGGATTTCATTCCATCTGTTTCTATCTTTAAATTTTTGTTATTGTTGTTGCGTGGTAAAGGACAATATGAAATTCAAAACCTAATTTTTGAATCGGATCCTAATAAAATTGGATTAGTAAAAGTCGGTAATTCTATTTATCATTTGTCACTATTTGTATAAAGTTAATTTTTTTCGATATTTTATATTTAGATGTCTTTTGGTTTTGGTTGGTTGATTCTAATAACTGATCCCGAACATGCCAAAGTATTTTTCTCTGAAAGTGGTATATTGCCCTTTAAGGTTTTATCGTCGGTTCACTTTTTAAAAAGGTTAATTTACAGTGTTTATATAATTATTATTATTTTCATTTTTGCTAAGCATACACCCTTCCAAAGGGCAAATTACCCGAAAAACATCCAGCAATTGTTTTCTTTGGAAAAGGGATCGCATTTACGAATGGAGACGTAGTTATCTTTTTTCATTAAATTCTGAGTACATATTATTAAAAAAATTTCCATCCTTGTTGATGAGCATTTTCATTTTAAAGCGCTGGGTACGACAACGAAGAATAGCAGCACCAGCGTTCAATCGAGCACTTCGTCCTGAAATGGTTGGGGAATGCACCAATGAACTTATAAATTTGTTAAATAAATGGACGGATACTCCAATAGATGTGTTTTTATTAATGCAACGTGTTACTATTCAAATATTAGGAAAATTGGCTTTCGCATATGATATGAAAGTGAGTATTTATATAATTTGTATAAATTTATATAAAATTTATAAAATTTATAAATTTTATATAAAATTTATTAAGAATTTTATTTTCGACCGACTTAAAGTCACACATGTGATGGTCACATGACTAGAATTAATAATATTGCAGTGTTAGTTGAGTGACTTTAAATCAGGCTAAAATAGAATCTCATCATTATGTTATTGTTTGAACTAACCGTGAAAAAAAAACTTTTTCAAACAAAGGCATTGGATAGTTTGGAGGAACAACCATATTTTTTAAAAACATATAGTCAAATTATTCATCGTGTTACATCTCCAACCTTTGTATTATTCTCATTTTTGAATGCACTTCCTCTTAAAAAAAATGTTGAACTCTCTTTATTAATTAAAGAGTTCGACAACTTTCTATTTAAAATGATTGAACAACGAAGGCTTGATATGTCTAAAGATGTAAATGATGGTGAAAATACTGATTTATTGGCTGGAATCTTAGAAGCTGCTAGCCGTGAAGATTACAGGTACACAAATAAAGAACTTAGAGATGATATAGTTGTTTATTTTGCTGCCGGACATGACAGCAAGTATTAAATGTTTTATAATTCATTGTGGCTGAAATCGGCTAATGTTAAAATTTGGGGAATCTATAATACCCTTTAAATATATGTTGTAAGTGTTGACAGGATTTTGAATTTTAGGATTAGAGTGTAGATTAATGTAAAAACATCCTTACCCTAACATTCTAATTTAATTACAAAACTTTAAATCCATTTAAATTATTTAAATTCAATTCTCATTTACAATATATATTTAATGCCAATTTCAGCATCAACTTCTACATTAATTATAAAATGCAAATAACTTAAATATTTTTTTTTTATTCGCTACAGCCACTTCAGTTTCATTGAGCGTTGCTTTTTATTATTTAGCAAAATATCCAGTAATTTTAATTTTTCATAATGCTGAATTCTAGTTTGATAAAATATAAGCACTTACACTTGTATTTTTTTTTCTAGGATATTCAAAAAAAAGCTAGAGAAGAAGCAATTAAGGTTTTAGGAAGTACTTCAAAATTATCAACTTTTGATAATATTAAGGTATTTTTCTATTTACTTACATCAATTGCTGTTAATCAAATATTATATTAATAACGTTTAAAAAAATAATAGGACCTAAAATACATATCTGCAATAATTATGGAATCGCTTCGCATTTATCCACCAGTAGTGCAACCATTATTTCGTACCCCTACTAGACCATTAAATTTATCAAGAAACATTACGATACCGAAAGGAGTAAAGATTACAGTGAATTTTTGGCAAATTCATAGAAATCCAAATCTTTGGAATGATGTTGATAAGTTTATGCCTGAAAGATTTATTAATCCTGAAAAAGAGATGAAAAGTAATTGGGTTCCATTTTCTAGTGGGCCTAGAAATTGGTATGTTTATTTTTATTCCTAATATATATATGATTGTATTTAAGTATATTATATACAGTATTTATACATTACAATTACAATGTTTTTGTTTAGCCTTGGCCAAAATTTTTCAATGATGGAACAAAAAATTATTATTGCAATGACACGTAAGTTTATTTTATATATATATATTTTTACATTATGGGTGATGATAATAATATTTGATGCGTG